TACAGTATGAAATATAAAGTCATGGGGTGGTGGAAAAATAATTAATATTGTGCATGACTCCCGTGAGCTTAGACGACTGCATCCATACATCTCTGCAATGATTCAAATAACTTATTAATAAAGTCATCTGGAATGGTAAAAAAGCGTTCTTGCAGGACTCCCAGAGTTCATCAAGATTCCTTGGATTCATCTTCAATGCCCCCTCTATCTTACCCCAGACATGCTCAATAATGTTTATGTCTGGTGACTGGGCTGGCCAATCCTGGAGAAATCCTGAAGTATGAGAAGGAGTACTATCCTGCTGAAGAGCTTGCCCTCTTCTGTGATTTGTAATGTAATGGGCAGCACAAATGCTGTTGATGTTGCCATCCACTCTGCAGATCTCTTGCACGCCTCCATACTAAATGTAAACCCAAACCATATATATAGCGAAGCAGTGGCGCAGTAAGTAGTGCTCTCCCCTCACAGCAAGAAGGTCGCTGGTTCGAGCCTCGGCTCAGTTGGCGTTTCTGTGTGGAGTTTGCATGTTCTCCCTGCTTTCGTGTGAGTTTCCTCTGGGTGTTTTGGTTTCCCCCACAGTCCAAAGACATGCGGTACAGTTAAATTGGGTAGGCTAAATTGTTCGTAGTGTATGAGTGTGTGTGTGAATGTTTCCCAGAGATGGGTTGCGGCTGGAAGGGCATCTGCTGCGTAAAAACTTGCTGGATAAGTTGGCAGTTCATTCTGCTGTGGCGACCCCGGATAATAAAGGGACTAAGTCGACAAGAAAATGAATGAATGAATGAATATATATATATATATATATATATGTATGTTTGTATAGCATGTAAATTAAAAACTTTGAATTTTCTCAACAATTGTATTTTGGTAAGAATTTATATTGAACTTTATGTTCTTACGTATTATTAAATTGCAGGAGAAGTAATTCATGGTTTGAATTTTAACTGCAATTAGGCTATAAAAATATTTAAAATTAATTGTAATTTATAAACCATTAAACTGTGGCATGTGATAGAGTAGACCAGATGGTTAGGCTGCTTCCTGTTACTATGTACATACGCATATGTGTAATCTTCTGAGAATCTTCTGCTTCAGACCATTACTGATTCACAAAATATAGCCTACTAATGTAGCAAGCTACACTTTTATTTGCTAGTACTAGTACTATACCAACACAGTAGCTACAATGCTTTAAAAGCAGCTATACTGTCGTGCTAGTTAAGCCAGCAGCGTCGCAACTCGCAAACACAGTGTGATGGTGGAACATCAACGTTTGTTACTCTTAACTAGTCAAAGCGATCAGCCCTACGCCGCTGTCAATTTTCTCTGCGTCAAAGACTGGACGACTATGAGAAAACTTATTGCCGACACATCTTATGCTTGCGCACTCGCTCATGCAAACACACACATAGGCTACACACACACACACCCGGCTGAGCACAGCCTCTCCCGGCGCTATCGGGTTTCGCGTCCCTCCTGAGAGGGAAGGTGAGCCAGCTTCATTAATCATTTAGAGTGTGCGCTGTGAGTGGAGGACAGTGTGATTGCCGGGTGTTGGGTGTCTCTGTCCGTGACGGTGGCCCCCAACACAACTGCCTTGATTTGAATAAAGAAAAAGGCTTAGGCCACTGCCTGGTCAGCAACGGGCCTCCGGGAAAGACGAACGCTGCCCGCCGCGTGGGCAGATTAAAAGACCTCTTTCTCACTCACGGCACATGAAACATTAGACAGGTGCAGGTGTGCGCAGAGAGATGCTTGGATTGCCCGTTCTTCCTCTTTCGGTGCAGGTGGTGATGTGCAGTCCCTACGATGCCAGATGGTCGTATATGGTGTAAAATGCGTATAGCTTTATTTATTTTATTTTTTCATTATACATTCGAACCATATTTTAGTGTATTGAATTCTTCTCTTAACAAAATGACTTTTGATTGACATTTAATTAGCTTGAAACAATAAAAATCTTTGCAAACATATGAAGTAGGCATCTCATCACTTTTCTTATAGTCTTTTTATAATGTAGCTTACCAGCCCAGACAATAAATTGTTTAAAATATTAAATTTCTCAATAAAAGTTAATTAAACTTTCAACATCTAAAGTTTTCATAGCAGAAATCAAAGGCCCCATAATTTGAAGACTTCACATTTGAAAAAATAGAAACACTACAAATAACAAATTATAAGAAACAGTTAATAAACAGATGCTTTTTTACAGTGAAGTGCATATGTCATCCCTTATCTAAAGTATTATCTTTCAGAATTTTTGTATTGATTAAATAGGCTGCTAATTTCAGATTTGATGAAAATGTTAAGTTACAGAGTTTGGTTATTAACATAAATATTCAGTCTGTAATTTACCAAAAGAATAGTCATACATGTTTGGAACAACACAGGGATGAGTAAATGATGGCAGAATATAACTTTTTAAATAAGGTTTCACTTTATGATCTCTTATTACATAGTCCAACAATAATTGAAAATAATGGCCATATTTAACACCCTAACATGTTAGATAGAACATAGATTTTCTTGCAATGGAGAGAGATGATGTTTACAAGCAATAGAAATGTTTGCACTTGACATTTTATAAAGTTCGATAATCTAAAAAGTATATATATAATCACATTTTAGTAAGATATGCCACATAATATTTGTTTCTTGTATCACTTACGTATCTGACTAACATAAAATATGTGTATATTTAAAAGTGTAATTTGGCATTTTTGGAAAAATAAAATCCCTTTTGTCATTGTCTGGGCACAATCAATTGGCTGCGTCCTGCATACTGCATTATTAAAAAGGATACATTTTGATGCCCCATAAGAGGGACCCTTCAATTTCAGACAATGTGGTCAATAACAGTGATGCAATGAGTTTTCAAATATGGTTTTTGTACCATTTGTAAGCTACAATGAAAACTGCAAAAAAAAAAAAAAAAAAAAAAGAAGTGAAATTCAATTGCCGCCAGTCTTTCTGACCCTATTTACTTTTAAGAATTTCAAGCTGGAACAACATGAATATGCAACACAAGTTTCATTATTTCTTCAAGAGAAACTGGCAGTAATTGACAGTAATTTGTTCATTAAAGAGTAACCTAGTCCTTTAAGAGCGTGCAAACATTCTCTCCATCCTCTTCTCACTTCTCCATCATCAAGGTCAGAGGCTGGAGCCCCAGACAGCAGCCGAGCTCAGCTCGCCGTTTCTAACACTGGGTTTAGAATGACACAGCAAAGCTAGCGTGAAGCTATATCTCGCCTGAATAAAGAATGGCTTTCAAAATGGACAAAAACTGACTCTCTCTGTCCTGCTGCGGGCCATATGCACTCGCCGATCACCCTGCATCGCCATCTCCGCTGCTGCGTCTGCCCTCAGAAGGCTTCAGACTGGCTAACGGCAGCTCAGACACCTCCTCCCCTTCACTGGAAAATGATCCCAGCCATGTATAATCAATCAGGTCCTTTTACTGAAAACTCAACCCTCTACGTCTGCGTGTACACGTGTGTGAAAATGAGCATGTGTTTTCTGCAGGCAATTGAGATGGGTGTGGGCTTTTTAACAAAAAGAGACACGTAAAATATACGTAACACAATATCCCACAATGCAAACGTGAAACATGCCATGCAAATGTGAAGGTTTTTAGGGGAAATACGTGACCACTGTTTCTGTATATTTCCATAGGCCAAGCTCAACTTATTTCTGCGTAGATATTTATGATGAATAAAGATATTACTGGTTAGCTCTTTCACTTCTGTTATTTTTTATTTTTGAGAACACTCTTAGAAACAATAAAAGTTCTAATCTAAATAAATAAATATATATATAAATATATATATATATATATATATATATATATATATATATAGGCCCTATATTGTAAAATGGAAAGCTATTTGCTAAACCAAAATAACATCTTTCATTAGGTTTATCTATTATTATAATACTAAATAAGAGTAATTTATTATTATTATTATTATTAAGTAAAATAAACGTGCTGTATAGGCCTATGAAATCGAAAAAGGATTATTTACGTTTTGCTGTCATATGCAAACCAGCATCGAATTATTTTCCTGACTCGGTAAAGGTGGCATGCAGTATATTAGAACCTCATAAAACGAAGTTGCAAAAATATCTCTGTCCCGCTGGAACCAAATGCTAGAATTACAATGTCCAGATGAAAAAGTACGCTGGAGTCGCGTTACATTCCAAAATAACTCGTCAGATACACGACACCAGAGACTTCTCGTCACAACTATCAATCCAGCAAACCTCCGGTGCCCGCCATCCATCACAAATAAAGTGATTCTTTTGAAATGACATTTAAACATTTACTCTACGTGTGCCATATTTACTTTATGCCTTTCTTTGCTTGTTTTGATGCTTCTTTTTTTAGTTATTCGTGTGTCGCCGTGCATTGCCATTCAAACAAGGGATCGTAAAATTAAACTATGTATTTTCAAAAAGATAAAAAGCTCATTTAGGATCAAAAACTTTACTTAGTAGTAAGCTTTCACTAAATAGCTATTCATTTCCATTATTTTGGTATTGTAATACAACAGTGTCTGTTTATGGAGTGTGTTGCGCGCACTCCTTCCCCTGAGGTATGACATCCAGTGCCACTCTATCTCCAAGAGGCAGGGTCAGTTTCTGCTACACAACTTCTCTCCACACTTGCCCGTATGACTCCCCAGGAGGATGCGCTTGCCGTGCTTACACACTGGCGAATCTGTAAGAGATATGATATCTAGAGGGCGGGCTGATAGCTAAGGACAGTCGAGGAAAGAATCTATTGCGCACGACTAGAGCGCGTAAAAATGAAATGATTAGCGCGTCATGATATTGCAACTAATGTAACTGAGCACTTACGCAAACTTGTTTAAGTGTTTTGCTTATTTTGCTTGATTTTTCTCTTTTTTTTACTTTAAGATGATTTGAATCGCACTTTTTCATGGAAATGCATATCAAAAACTGAAATTCTTTAGTTGCGGAAGAATCATTGCATGAGTTTCCCAAGTGGATTTCGCCTTCAAACCAACGTTAAGAGTGGATAAGATACGCACAGGACATCGTTGCACTTAGCAATGTCTATGCCACCAACTTTTGGATTTACCCAAGAGCAGGTTGCCTGCGTGTGCGAGGTCCTTCAGCAAGGTGGAAGTATCGAACGTCTTGGACGATTTTTGTGGTCTTTACCAGCTTGTGAGCACCTTCACAAAAACGAGAGCGTATTGAAAGCGAAAGCAGTAGTAGCTTTCCACCGAGGCAACTTCAGGGAGCTCTACAAAGTATTAGAGAGCCACCAGTTTTCTCCGCACAACCACCCTAAACTTCAACAGCTGTGGCTGAAAGCTCACTATATTGAAGCGGAGAAATTGCGCGGTCGTCCTTTGGGCGCAGTGGGAAAATACCGCGTGCGCAGAAAATTCCCACTGCCTCGCAGCATTTGGGATGGAGAGGAGACCAGCTACTGTTTTAAGGAGAAGAGCCGGTGTGTGCTTAAAGAGTGGTACACCCACAACCCATACCCTTCCCCGAGAGAGAAGAGAGAACTGGCCGAGGCCACGGGTCTCACCACGACTCAGGTCAGCAACTGGTTCAAGAACAGAAGGCAGAGGGATCGTGCCGCTGAAGCCAAAGAAAGGTAGGAGAACTTATTGAGGCTTTTCGCTTTTTACTGTTCACCAAAATTATCATGTTTATACATAAAAAATGCATGCATTTATAAAAGCTATAAGTATTTTAGGTAAATAGCCTAATAATTACAAAACAATTTAATACATAACAAAATAATTACGCTTTAACCGCATTTGATGACATCAGTATGGTATTTAGGTTATTAAATGTATTGGTTTAAAAATGTACATTAGAAAAACTCTTTGAAAACAACTCAATTTAAAATAAAATATTTAGATATGACATGGCATTTTATAAATTAGTATAATTGGTGACATTATTAAGGCAACTGTTTCAGGTTATTATACAAAATTTAAAAACTATTGAAAAACAACATTTACATTAATATGACATCTGCATATCTTCGAAATCTTGTATAGGCGACGTGAAAAATGTAGCTATGAGCTTTCTTTGTAAAAACTACATACATTTAGCAAATCATCGGTATAAACGGAGCTAAAGAAAGGATTTCCGTCAGTCGGAGATCTTTAATAGGCATATGACTGTTCAGCCTGATCTTACAAGGAAACGTAAGTATTTTAAGTTTTGGCAGTTTAGTGGCTAATTCTTATTGGACTGTTAGAGTTTAAAAGCATTTGCTCAAACTTTTGATATCACCCTAAAGGTAAAAAACAAAAGTTACCATATATTTTATTAGGTATATTTAGTTGTCTTTTATTTGGTATATTTAGTTATGCATGACCCAGCTGTTTGCACTTGCAATTTTAAGCTGTGTTTGTTGTTTTTGCACGCATGCTTATGAATTTGAATGATGTACTCCAACAGGGAAAACGAGGGTGCAAATCCAAACGGTCACAACCCCCTGACCTCTCACGTGAACGAAAACAAATCTCTATGTGAAAGTTCAGATGATGACAAATCCCCCGCGGGAACCCCGGATCATACTAACATGAGTCCAGCGATCCTCATGCCCTCCAGTTCAGGTCTGCCACCCCTGCACAGCTTCGCTCCTCCGCCCGGGCCCAGCGCCTCCATCAGCGACACTCAGAGCCACCACCACTTCTCTATGCACGACGGCCTTCTCAACCCCATGACGGCCAGCCTGGTGGAACTTGGATCATAAGGAATGAAAGAAACATTTGACTTTCCAACCCGATTACTATCTTCGTCAGCATATACCAAATTTTTTATTATTCAAGCTTAGAGGACATTAGCCAAACAATTTTCCAAAACTACAGTCCCAGATGACGGTCCTACGTGATGTTACCATCAACTATTACTGTAACATTTTAGCCTAATCATGCGATAGTTTTTGATATGTCTAGCTATAGAATTAACTAATAAATATATATTTAATAAAGTCAAAATGAGTTGTCTCGTTGTATTTGAATATGTTCAAATGCTATAGGTGGATCTTTTTCATCATTGTATTTGTATAATCACAATCATAATATGCTAAAAACTTATTTTAAAAATTAAGTAATTAATGTCGTAGAGAAAAATGCTAGGGTTATTTGGATTTTTTAATTTTACGCGACGATTGCATGTTTGGGTAGCTAGGCTAAACCACTTTTCTTTCTTGTTTGCAAATATTCTTGATAAAGTAATGACTGTTTATGTTCTATTTAAAATACGTTTTTTATGTATTTAAAATATTTTCATAATTTTTCGTCCAACTTGTCACAATAGTTTGTCATACTACACAACCATATGAGATCCTTATACATTTTTCTTCAGTAATTAAATTCAGCATGGACGAATTAGCAATGCCGCAATTAACGTCTCACTGCAAATTGTAATCTTAGAACAGCTGTGATTGTAGATAAAAAGCCAGCACTTTAAAATAGAATTGAGCATAACATAAACAGAATTTAGATTTCCATTTTATTCTGTTTTTATTTATTTTTACTTTTAAATGTTTTGTTACATTGTTTTTGGCTTATGTTTTGGTCAAATTTATGAACCTATACTGCCACCTATTGGTGATATGTCTTTATTAAACATACCTTAAGTTTCCTCATTTTCAAGTAATTTGAAAAGCATTCAAATTCAAACGAATGAATGAAAATTTGTTAATGTTGCATTCCATTACACAGCAGCGCTCTGTTCTTTGAATGACAAAAATATTTCAAAGCAATATAAAAGTGCAAGAATCATTCATTCATTCTCTTTTCAACTTAGTCCCTTTATCAATTTTGGGTTGCCACAGCGGAATGAGCCACCAACTTATCCAGCATATGTTTTTACGCAGCGGATGCCCATCAAACACCCCAGATAGCATACTTATATGGGCCACTTTAGGCAGTTATGCGGCACTGGTGGTATTCCTTCGGCCCAGACAAAATGAATGTGAGCCTAAAGTAGCCCACCTGTGCAATGGCAAAGTGGGGCCAAAGATTCAAATTCATATATGGGCCATTTAGGCAAAGATTTGGCACTTATAGCAAAATATCATCTGAATGTGATCCTAATGTGGCCCATGTGGCAAATGATAAATTTGGCCCAAATAATGGAGGACAAATGTGGGCCACAGTTGTCAAAAATGTGACATAGTCATTTAAGGGTAATCTGGGTCTAAACCTCAAGTGGCTCACACGTGTAAGTGCAAATGTGGCCCACTTATCTTAAGACAAATGTGGGCCACTTTTGGCAAATATTTGGCACAGAAAGCTCTGGCTATTGCGGTTGTAAGCCTAATGTGGCCCAGAGAAGATATGGCAAATGTGGCCCAGTTATTTTAAAACATGTGTGGGACACTTTTGGCAAATATTTGGCACAGAAAGCTCTGTCTAATGTGGATTTGAGCCTAATGTGGCCCAGATATGATATGGCAAATGTGGCTCAGTTATCCTAAAACAAACGTAGGCCACTTTTGGCAAATACTTGGCACCGTTAGCTCTGGCTAATGTGGCTGTGAGCCTAAAGCGGCCCAGAGAAGATATAGCAAATGTGGCCCAGTTATCTTAAAACATACGTAAACCAAATAGACTAAAGTCACCATCATGGAGAAAAAGTGTTTGCTTTAGATGGGGTCATAGCCCCGAACCTCTTAAAATAATTTTTCTTTGGGCCTGCTGTAACTTTAAAGAGCATTGCTTGAAAAAAATATTTATTACAGCAAACAAGCCAAGTAAAAATAAATATATAAATAAATAAATAAAATTAAGTGAGACACAACCTGTGATGAAATAATATATTTTCTGAATTTAACCAATATTAATCCATTATTAAACGTCATAGTGACGTGATCACATACTTGCACATGCCACTGAATTTAATCAGCGTGTGAACCTCAACAACGGTGACAATTAACAAAATGAGCAAAACTCACAAACATCACAAATAGGAGACTAAAAATGACGAAATCAACAACGTCAACATAAACAGCAGATTCAACAGCAAATAACGAAAACTGGAGCATCAATAAGCTATAGAATGTATTCATTCTGCAATGCATGCTGGTATTTTTGTACTTTGCCACACCCAACAAGTGTAAGGTGTAGGCCAGATCTGGGCCAGAATAAAAGCATAATGTGGCCCAGAATAGGCTCAGTTCTGGTTCATTTGGTTGAATTCTGTGGCTATGGCTTAATTGTGATCCATATCTAGGGAGCAGAGGTGATTAATCTATTGTCATCATGCGGTATGTGGGCCGGATTTAAGTGTCTGGTGTGGGCCTTATTTGAGCCACATGAAATTTGCTACCCATACACACATACACTACGGACAATTTTAGCTGCATCACCTGTTTTTGGGGAAACCGGAGCACCCGGAGGAAACCCACGCGAACGCAGAAATACCAGCTGACACTCGAACCAGCGACCTTCTTGCTGTGAGGCGACAGCACTACCTGAAAAACTGAAAAAAATATTCAAATATGATTCCTTGGATTTACTCAATTACTTTATGTTAAGAGGTGGTAAACAATTTATTTGGGCTGAATTTAAACAAACAAATTAAGTTGAACATTACTAAACTTAATTTGTTTGTTTAAATTCAACACAAACAAATAGTTTGCAACAGTTCTGCATGCAACACTTTTTTCATTATAATGCGCCACCGCGTCGCCCCTGCTAGAACCAAAATGGCAAATAGGTCATTCGAAATAAAGAAGGCGGAAACTACAATCAAAGGGCGCCAATTCCAACATTGTGATAGGAAGGTAAGACTTAAGTAGCATAACATAAGTGTTAAACAAACCGTACTGAACTGCCTAATCGAACATCTCGTTCAAATATCTGTTTTAATTGAAATGTGTTATTGACCTGATGGCATGCTATGAGACAAACGATTTGCGTTTTTGACAGGCCTGCCGGTGTGCGCATTTAAAAAAATATTAGCATATTTACAAACAGATTGCAAATTCAGATTGACACCTTCTCCAATAAATATTAAACCTAGAATTCCAATTAGTCAATCTACTAAAAGACGTAAACTCTCCAACAGATTTCCCACCTATACCTTGAAATGCTGTGCCGCCGCCGCCGTGTTAACACATTTCATAATATTTTTAATAACTCATTTCTAATAACTGATTTATTTTATCTTTGCCATGATGACAGTAACTGCTTATTTAACAAAATAAATTATGATGACTTAAAAGTGGGCTTTACGGGAAGTTTAATATGAAAGTGTAGAGTAAGCACCCTCTGCTGGCCACACTTGCATTTTCGAAAGCACCAGGCCCAGAATATTACCTTTGTTAAATGATTAAATTAACAATTAGGATGGCAAAGTGGAAATCAGATAAAAAGAGATTTAAATGTTTATTAATTTTTAAAAATAAATTGAAACGCATTAAAATTCAATTTTTTTTCTTTATGGCTCTATTAATACAAATTATGCATTTTATTTTTTTCAAGGCTTTATTGATTTAAAAGTTTCACAAATTTCCTCTCATTATATTTATTTTGATTGATCTTTCTTATGGGATAATCACATCATTATCACATTATCATTAAATAAAAATTTTTTACACAATAATAATAATACAAAACTATATCTTACAATGAAGCACTATACCTAAGTTTGAAATAATTGTGATCAGGCTTTATTTTTTAAACAGGATATCATGGTAAATACTGTGAAAATTGTCTGGGGAAAAAAATCCATGCATTACATAAAGTTACATGAACAAACTTTACAAGTTTACACATGTTGCAACCGACTAAGATGGGGTTGTGTTCCAAAAAATAAGCAGAATGAATCAAAAATTAATTTACATTAATTTACATGTTCAATCTATGTGGATTTTCAAAGGTAAACAAAGTGGAACAGTAAAATATTTTAGCAAAATAAAATAAAGAAAAAAGATAATCAAGTAATTATAAGTATTTTACTATCAATGTAAATTGTAATGCAACCAATAAAACGTAAAGGTAATCTGATAACGAGTATTGTATGTAAAATTATTGTATGTAAAAGTATTACATCCTACAATCAGATTACGTAATCCAGATTACATTTAATCAACTACCAAGCACTGCTTGTTTTTTATTAAAGCTTGTCTTCTCTAATATTCACCACATGATGGCGACATGAGGACATGAATAGGAAGTAAAAGCGTCCTGTAAGAAAAATTCATGCCATATATTATCTGTCTCTATTGTTTTTGAAAGATATATTTTAAAAAGGCTAGAAATGTAAAAAAATAAAAATAAAATAAAACAATAAATAAAAACAATACTTTGTTTTATAGTAACAACTTCATAATCGAATACATGCTCTATGTAACAGTTTTAATTGTCTGAATATCAGCCCTAAGCGCCACAGCTGCAGCACGTGTTTGGCTTGAATTGAAAACTGGGCAAGCTTCTAAACCAGAGGGTATTAATACACAAAACAAAAGTGATTAAATGCAATTTTGTCAAAATAATAATAATAATAATAATAATAATAATAATAATAATAATAATAATAATAATAATAATAAATGAATAAATAATTAATCAGCCAAATATAGCCTATCTTTTTTATTATCAATTTGTTATTCGTTTACTTGCTTTGCTTTGAGTCCACGGTTCAGTTTTAAAGAAGCCTATAATTAGGTCAAACGGCTTACACACAATCACGGTTTGCGAATTATAAAACTTGGTTTTATATTTTGCTTTTCAGTCGTAATTTGTTGAGGTTCCTCGTGTTTTTTTTTTTTTTTTT